TTTATGCACTAGGTAAGCATCCTTCTACTGATACACAAGCCTATCCTTATATAAATGTAGTCTTTTACTGTATGCTAAAATTATTTCCTTATTTTTATAAACAATTCTCCTTCTGACCATTCATCAAAGAAATTTCTTTTGTAAAAGATGGAGACTGTTAGAGAGTTCCAAAACCAGTCAAAGGCAGAAAATAAATGCCTTTGAGATGCCCAGCGTGGCACATCTACAGTGCAACTCTATACCTAAGGCTCAAGAAAAACAGTGGAATAGGGAGAAGAGAGAATATCAATGCAGCTTTCAGTGTTCACATGTGAATCTTCGTCATGTAGCAGATGGTGATTATCCCAGAAAGCCACAACTGGCCAAAGTACAGAGAATAAGAGACTGCAGATTTTGTCCCCAGATCAGAACCTACATAAAAACTCTGCTATTCATAACTCAGAGATCATTGCAGAAGAGGGTGGAAATGTAAGAAGCATGAGTGGTGGGTGACCACAAGGAAATAGTTTTCCACGTGCCTGGAAAGTTGTTTTTATAAACTTTCAGCAATGGAGGCATGTCGCCCAAGTTCCCTCTGGGTCTCCTTCACTATCAAACAAACCATATAACATATCTTTATGTGAATTTATTAACTTACAAAAGAATGGGTACCCAGTGCCTAGCCCTGGGCATCCTATGTCGCAGCTCTGAGCCTGCAATATCAGACAATGCCACACCCATAGTTACCACTAGCTTTTGCTCATGCCTCAGGGGCCAATGATTTTGCCCCAGGTCCATAAGTGTCCGGCCATTCTGTCCTTGAGCAGGTGGGCAAGGCTGCGCCTTTCCCATGCTTTGCACTCCCCCATGGCTCTGCAGCCCTGCGGTAGTCCACCCTCTGCGGCAGGCCCCACCCCTTGGAGGAACCAGCCAATTGGGAGACAAGGCAGCATGCACATGATCCATACAAATTCAAACCAGAAAAAGTCCAGCATAGAGTTGGAAAATGGATAAATAGTCCCAAACTTAGCTCGGGAACTCTTGGCAATTGATTATTGCTGGGAGAGGTAGTGGGACGGTTAGTTTTCTATAATGGATAGTTATGTTGACCAGGCTCCTGTGAATGGACTCACTGAAGGACATTTGGGGAAACAAACTTGCCTTGATCTTGATCAGCCTTAACATATGTGAAAGAATGCAAGAAATAATGTGTGGGCCAATGGGAGGCTGCACCTATGGAAAGGAGTTTAAATATGACCAAGATGTATGAGATGAATAAATGTTTAATAACAACAAAATACACATACATGTACATGGTCTCCAATTTAATGTTCACAACAGATTTTACTGTTTCTTCAAATTACTCATAAGATATTCAGAGGAAACAAAAATTCATACACTGCTCCCACTATGTGAAGCATCACTTCACCAGTTTGACTGGAAAAATCCTAGTTTATACCGCAGCTCTATTTGCAGACAAACCGTAAAATGTACACAGATCCTGTTAGGTTCTCATCTACTTTTCAGCCTAAAAGAGAACACTACAAGTTGTCATGTACTTCTTAGATGGTTGTATTGAGTTGCATTTTAAAAATAAAATTTTCATATATTAAAAATCCACACTGAAGGACATTTTTGCTTACAAATTTGACTCTATAGACATTTGTAAACATATAATAGAGTACATTAAATTGAATGGGGGTCAAAGGGGGTGGTGTAGATATGCAAGGGGATCTAAATACCATCACATCATATTGTATGAAAGATGCAAAAATTCAATTAAATTTGTTTTTAAAAGAACTAACTTTAAGAAAATAGACAACCTAATTGCTAAAGAACTACATGGAAATGTCTCAAAAGAAATATATACAAATGGCTAGACAAAACATGAGAAGGTTCTCAACAGGATTGGAGAGATGGCTCAGTGGTGAACAGCACTGGCTGCCTTTACAAAGGACCCACATGGCAGCTGACAACCACCTATAACTAGAGTTCCAAGGGATCAGATGCCATCTTCTGACTTCCGTGGGCACTGCAGGTATGTGGTGTACCTAGGTACATGCAGGCAAAACACTCACACACATAAAATACCAATAAATAAATCAAAAAAAATTTTTAAAACTCCTTAGCCATCAAGGAACTATAAATTAAAATTGACTTAAGATTTAAGACATGAATCTCACCCCAGTCAGAATGAACATCATTTGAAATACATATCACAATAGATGCTGGCATGGAAGTGGTAAAAAGGGGATACTTATACACTACTTTTGGAAGGGTAGCCAATGAACATACACAGAAGCTTTTGGGGTGTCAGAGGTCAATGAAAAGAAGATCTCACATCTAGACTCCACACAGAACTATCTTGGGCAATTGGAAATAGTTGAAACAGGACAGTGAAAAAGAGAAGTATCACCCCATAAAAGCTGGGAAACACACTTTATCTGTAGACCAGAGGACTGACCACAAAATAACCTCTACAGGTCTATTCAATTAGACATTTTGAAATGTGTTGGCTTTATTTCCTTTAGAGAAACATAGAGACCTAGAAAAGCAGGTAATGTGCACCTATAACATCAGCATGTGTGAGGCTAAGGAAGTTGGGTCCTGTAATCAAGGATAAGAGAAACCCTTGGTATCAGAGATCATTAAGTGAGAGAATTCAGGAAAAGAAAGCCAAGAAACAAACCCAAGAGGATTCATTAACTTTATTTTCCTTAGACCAACATTTCCAGGGGAGGCCATTTCAGACGGGATCTAAGTCCCTCTGAGGATATGTGTAGGAGAATGAAGAGAGGTTATGGAAGACAAAACAGAGAGTTCTTGGATAAGGCTCTAGCATACTTGGGCCCCAGATACTTTCAGGGGGATACAACAGGACCCATTGGGCACCTCTTCTAATTTTTTCTTCCTTCATACAACTTTGATCTTTGCTACCTCATAGGAGCCGAATAAAAGAGCGTTAGAATCTGGACCTAAAACAATCCGAAAACTGGCGGTAAGATAGAGGGACTCTCAAAGGCAAGCTGTTGAACTGACCAGTTTCTACTAATTTTTCTCAAGTGTGAGAAAAATAGTGACATCTTCTTGCTCCATAGAACATTAGCCAAAGACTGTTCTCTGTCTGGCTGCATCCAAATAATCTCTACAGAGTATCTGCAGATAAGAGGAAAGAATAGAACGGCCCTGACACTGAATGGACTTACATAGATTGGACCCTTGACATATTTTACCAACTTAGCAAAACTGCTGAAGAGAACCACATCTGCCCTCCTTTTTGTACGGAAACATCCTCAATCGTCAAGCAGCCCAAGGGAAGCTGGAGTGGACACGCAGCTAAGCTTCTCAACAACTCACGTAAGGAATTTGTATCTGTTAATGAATTGTGTAGCATCAAGGCATTTCAAGTCAAAATGTAGTCAGAGGAAAACCTTAGGGTTCTAAGCTACTGTGTCAGTTACAGTCCATGAGTCTTTGGACTCCACTACCCTTTTGATCTATCTGGTTTTGATTTTGGAAAATTAACAAAGAATCAATTGTGATTGATAAAGATTCTGTGTTGTAGTCTAGGACTTGGTATTTCAGCTCAGAAATCTCAATACCCATTTTTAGATCCTATAGATGTTGCTGGATTCTAATAGTATAAGATCAGACAGATGAATAAAGCCCTCAAAGTACATCCTGAACTGACAAGCTACTTGTTTGGTGTTTGATATCTTTAAGCTGTTAAGGTGCTAGTGGCCCCCAAAAGTCAATGGTGACTAACGAAATTTTAGCAAGCATCTGCCATGATGTGGCTGAGGGGTTTTTTACAAGGATGTTTCACTTTCAGATCTGTAACTTCAAGCTCTGAGTTGGCTTAAACTGCCCTGTTCTGTGATGCACAAAACAGGATTCTGTCAGCCTTACACGTCTGCCTCTGTTGGCTTCTCCACTGGATTTAGGAACTATGTGACAAAACCATCCTTCCAGAAAGAAAGCTCTTCTCTTGTGCATCATCTACCACAAATTCTCTAGATTTGCAGAAAGGAAAGTGAATACAGATGTCAAAGGTAGTTTGGGGGCTACAGTTATCAGGCCTGATGACAACACAAAATATCTGTACTTCAGTTGCTTTTCACCATCTCTCACAAACACAAACAGATCATCATCTGTTAGATTACTGTGCCTTTCAAGACACACTTTGGAAAGCAATTTGTTAAAACAAACAGACCTGTTCACATTGATCCTAAAGTTTTTATTCTAATAACCATACTTTCTCAACATGCTATTGCCTAGTTTCAAATAGTCAGTAATTGTCTCTCAGCATCATGGTGAATGTTGGATTAGCCAGCAGAGGTAACAAAGGTGGACAAACGTCCCCTTAGACTGAGATTTGCCATAAACAAATGTGGACTTATGAAATGTAGAAAATGACCTCGACAGCCTGGTGCATATCTAAACACCCAGCAATCAGGATGTTGGACTAATGGATAATTAAGAGAGGCCACACTGAGCTACACAGAAAGATTATCTCTCAAAACATACAAACATGAAAAAGAAATGTGGAAAAGTCAACAGGAGTAATTTATTGAAATCATGCCTATGTGCCACTTGGAAATTCATATTTAAAACATGTGTATGCCAAAAACTAACTGAAATATTTATGCAGCTGGATGAAAGTTACTCTAAAAGTCATGATTGTGAGAACAGTTCATTCAATTTAATAGAGAAATTTAATCTTTCTGGAAATATATATCTTCAGGTTTAATGTCTTATGTAGTTTATGTTTTATGAGTTGGTTTAATATTAAGCTATTAATGTGTTAGTTGTTCTACAGATGCATGGGTCTTTTTTGAGGCAAAGTTAAAAGTTAGAAATTTTAAAATCACTAAGCACAACTATTTAATAGTGAGAAAAATATACCGTTGTTTGAATTATGGTGGGTATAACAGAGACTTGTGTTCGTATACAATTACAGTGTATATCATCAAATTTGATTTAAGCCATTTGTTTCTAGGCAACTGAGGACACCACACAGAATGGATATCTTGAATTCCACATTGGGAAATGGCTTTCTCTTGGTGAGCATTCTGGATGATAGTGGCGCTCCTGAACTGCTCTGTGCCACAATCATGGCCATGTACTTCTTGGCCCTGACCAGCAATGGACTGCTGCTCTTGGTCATCACCATGGACACCAGGCTCCACGTGCCCATGTACCTCCTTCTTGGGCAGCTCTCTCTCATGGACCTCATCCTCACATCAGTTATCACTCCCAAGGCTGTCATGAATTTCCTACTTAGAGACAACACAATTTCCTTTGGGGGTTGTGCCCTTCAGATATTTCTAGAACTAGTGCTGGGTAGTGCAGAGGATCTCCTTTTGGCATTCATGGCCTATGACAGGTATGTGGCCATTTGCCAACCTCTGAACTACACAACCCTCATGAGTTCTAGAGTCTGCTGGCTCATGGTAGCCACATCATGGATCCTGGCATCCATGAGTGCACTAGGATATACCACTTATACTATGCAGTATTCCTTCTGCAAATCCCGACAGATCAGACACTGGTTCTGTGAAATTCCTCCCTTGCTGAAGTTGGCTTGTGCTGACACCTCCAGATATGAGCTCATGGTTTATCTGATGGGTGTTATCGTGTTACTTCTCCCTCTTACTGCCATCCTAGCCTCCTACACTTTAATTCTATTTACTGTGCTCAATATGCCATCAAATGAAGGTAGAAAGAAGGCCCTGGTCACCTGCTCTTCCCACCTGACTGTTGTTGGAATGTGGTATGGTGGTGCTTCATTCATGTATGTCCTTCCAAGTTCCTTCCACAGTCCCAAGCAAGACAACATTAGCTCTGTTTTCTACACAATTGTCACTCCCGTTCTGAACCCCCTCATCTACAGCCTGAGGAATAAGGAGGTCACTGGGGCTGTGAAGAGAGTCCTAGGAAAACACCTGTTATCAGCCTGCTCTAAGTGCTAGGTATTTCTAATATTTACCTTCTAAATTTAATTTCACCTCAAAGTCAGAAGACTTCTGTTGTGATATTGATATTCCTTATAAATTCAATACATTAAAAACTCTATCTTTCAGTAGAAAAGTATGGAGTGTATCTATCCTTTGTAAATGTTCTTTGAATCTTCTCTTAATGAGGTATTTATAAGATAAAGTTTATACTGTTTAAAATTATTCCACATTGTCTTTAAAAGTTAATCACAATTTCACAATAGCTGCTGAGTATAGAAGATCTAAAGGACATCAAAATCTGGACATATACCCTGACCTTTATGTCCATTTTGGACCAAAAACAAAAATTTTCAAGTGTCTGACTCAGACATTACTGAGAGAAGATCCCTGAAATTTGCAGAAATGTGAAACCAGCTAATGTTAGTAACAATACTGAACATATTCTTTTTTTCCCCGGTAACCTCCCTGGTTCCTTTTCCTTATTCTCATTCTTGCAGTTACATCTGAATACACTGAATACATACTCACATACAGGGATTTGGTGCTAGGATCCACAATTGAGGGAGAACATATGTAATTTGTTTTTTCTGAGTCTGTGTGTTTTACGAAATGTTCTTCCCTTCTCCTTTCTTGGGAGGCTCTCGCACGTGCTCTCCAAGACCCCATGGCTCACAGACTAACATAAGACACTCTTAGTTTGGACTTTGTACCGTTTTATGACTTTGGAAGGGAGTGACTTACAAAGAAGCAGCTTCTCAGAACCCACACATCATTCAAGTCCCGCCCAAAGATCCATTAGCGTTCATGCACTGCACCTACAGTCTTGAGTGTCCCATCACATGTCCACACCCCGCGGAACGCTGCAGTTGGCCAGTGACCTCCGCACACACTTTTCTCTGTTCCAATCTCACAGCAGTGGTAACTCTCCGCAGCTAACTCTCTGTCTCCTGGGCAGCTCCACCACTCTTCCCAGGGTGTTTCTCCTCTTGCCCTTAGCTGGCTTACTCTTTTGGGAGGAATGAATAATGTTCAGGCTATACTGTGTTACTTCATGTAATATAATAGTTTCTAGTTCCATCTATTTATCTGCAAATTTCATGATTTTGTCTTTCTTTACTACTAAATAGACTGCCATTGTGAAAATTATGTAAAACCAAGTTTTCATTATCCATTGGTCAATTGACGGATACTCTAGGTTGCTTCCATCTCTTAACTTTTGTGAAAAGAGCAGCAACAAACATGTACAAGTGTCTCCTCAGGCCCTGCTCATATGATTCTATGGCAATTGTGTCAGCATATACAAGTCCCATGGAATCTTTGGCAGATAAAAACCCAGCATAGAGCTGGAGAAATGAAGAGTAGACCCCAATCTTAGCTGAAGGAATATTGAAAACTGATCACTGCTAGGTGAGGAAGAACTGATCTTCCTAAAACAAGGGACTCTTCAGAGGTTGACTAGATCTCAGTAGATGGACTTGAACTGGAGAATGTCTGGGGACAATGACTTGACACAGTGGGCCTTAGCATGGATGACAGAGTACATGGGTTCCAGTGATGGGGACTAAGGGAGGAAATACACAATTTCTGTAGGAAATACACAAAATTTCAATAAAAACAAATAAAAAATGTTGACCATGACCATTCTTTCTAAAGTCCAGTTAGTAAGGTTTTCATAGTGTTTGCTCTTTTCCCCTTCCCAAAGTATCAGCTTTCATCACCTCTGTGAGTCTCTTCTGTCTTGTACAATAGATATATTTGTGTACATGTGTGTGCATACTATTCCTTTTTACTCTTTTTTTATTTTATTTACAGTGATGGGAACTGAACATTAAATGTGAGTAATGTAAACAACAATTCTGAATAATGATATGCTTTTGCATTTTTTTCCTAATGATGTCTTGAAATACATCAACAGTTGCAATGGATCCATGTGTTTGTTATGTGTACTTGATTTAAACATTACATAATGTGTGCATTTTTAAAAACACAGTATGATAGACAACCATCAATATGTAAAATTTTACAGTTTTTCTATCAGTTAAAACCTTATTCATAATTGCTACCATCAAGTATAGAACTGATGACAATCCTGCCATGGATATGGGGTAAAGGACACTTAAATATTATGGGTAAGCGTGTAAACTAATACATCCTTTATGGAAATGAGTCTTTAAGTTCATAAAGAAATTGGCACAGAATTAACATATGACCCGGTTAAGACCTCTTTGGGCCTATACTCACTAGAGTCTATGTTCTACTGCAAAGATGCTTGCAAATTCATGTTCATTGCTGCTCTATTCACAGCAACTTTGAAATGGAATCAGTATAGACATCTATTAATGTAGGAATGGATAGTGTGAATCTGGCAATCAGATGCAATGGAATTCTATTCATTTGTAAAGCAAAAACTAAATAATGAAATTTGCAGGTACACTGATTGAAATGGAAAAAACCCTAAACTAATTAGGGTAAATCAGAACCTAATAGAGAAAGGCTTCATGTTCTCTCTTATATTTGGATCCTAGCTTTGAAGATTTTATTTGTGTTTAACTAGAGTACCTGTAGGGCTGGGTACTAGAAAGGGGGTATTGAGAGGCATGCTCGAAGGGATGGGGGATTAGAAGAACATAACTGATAGAAAATTAGAGAGAGGGAATACTGAGGGTAAGCAGGGAGGGGCTTAGGGAAATTAGAAGGAAAAGGGGCAGATTAATCAAAATGAAGGGTTTAAGAAGAGGCCACATGAAGCCTATTATCTTGTAACTCAATTAAAATTATGATCAAAAAAGAATTTGAATAAAAAATACAAATTTGTAATAATTGGAATAAAGAGCACTGTTACTTATTTTCTTGCAATCTTAAGTGCACTGTACTATAGAAAGTGTTGTTGCTATATTCAGAAATTGGTTAACTGTTTCCTGTTTTTTTATTCAAAATAACATAGTTTCATAACTATTTTATTTATAATGCAGAAAGAAAATATTTTTAAGTTGGTGTTATAGAAGTTTAAAACACGATAGTGGTTATCATAAGCAGGAGAGATCTAGGGATAAAGACAGGAGAATAGAAATCCTTATCATTGATGGTTACTGAGTTACAGTTAGATCACAGCAAGAGGTTTTAGTGTGCTCCACAGAGTAGGGTGGATGTGTATCATAATATTTAGTGGGACTTTCATATGATGACACCATTACCATGTGAAAAAACTGTGGCAGTTGATTACTGCTAGGTGAGGAACAGCTGATCTTCCTAAAACAAGAGACTGTAGATAGGCTGACTAGACCTCAGTGGATGGACTTGCACTGGGAAACATCTGGGGACACTGACTTGGCACAATGGGCCTTAACATGAATGACAGAGTATGTGGATTCCAGTGGGGGAGTTATGGAAGGGTGCTGGTGGGGACAAAGGTACAAAGATGATTAAGATTGTTTGAGATATTCTTTATAAAATAGACAAAAAAATCAATAAAAGCAGATTTTAAAAATGATGTTTAATGGTTTTCAAAACTCCAAACAAAAATTTTCAAAGATTTTACCATAAAGAAATGGTATTTGAAAGGATAAATATATTTAATCTAAGTTAAATGCTATATAAATGGATACATGTAGGGAACCATAACATACAACAACATTGATACATACAAATTTTATGCATCGTAAAGTCTTCTCATCCAGAGACAACTACTACACACATTTAGAGTATTTTCTTACATTTTTGAGGCAAACTTAATCATCTTATCAATTTGGTTTGTGCAAGGGAATGTTTGTTCACCTGTTAGTACACAATGGTGTTTTTCTCCACATTTTATGGTGGTCATAGAGAGCAATGGTAAAGACCTCCAGGTTTCCTGGCATTGAAGGAGATTAGAAATCAATGACTCACTTTCTTTTATAATTTTGAAAATGTACATATCATTTTTAATCCAAAGTATGTAATGTAGAAATTATCATAATAAAATCACCTATTTTGAAGCATTTTCATGAAGATTTAGGAAGATAGTAAGGGGCTGGAGAGATAGTCCTGTGGTTAAGAGCACTGGCTGTTCTCTTGCATAGGACCTTACTTGAGTTCCCAGCACCCACATGGTGCCTAACAACAGTATTTAACTCCAGTTCCACTGGAACCAACACAGCTCCTCTTGCCTCCATGGGTACACTTACATGCAAGCAAAACACATACACATAAAATAAAAATAATAAATAAAATAGATTTTATAAAAGGAAAAGTTGTAAACACTAGTGCATCTAGTGAGGCATTTGGAATATAGTGATTACATCACAAATTTTAAATGTTACGTGATAAAATTTCCGTAAAGTTTTAAATAGTAGTATACTGTATCATAATGATGTTTTGTAATATAACTAGTTAATTCATGTCTATAAAATATTTAATGTTATATGTTTCTTTTGTGTTTTTTTAAAATGAGCAATGACAGTCTCCTGGGTTTTAAACTATCTTTTCCCTTGGGATAATTCTTATGATTAGAGTTATGTAAACCAAGGTTAAAAAAATCAATGGAATAGTCTTCACATCAAAAAATTTGTTTTCCCAAAAATGTTAAATCAGTTAATATTTAATGTTTTCTATTTAATATTGTATAAAAGTTGTAGTAATGTTAGCTATAACATTTAAATCTATTTTATAGTTTGCATATTTTGTACTTTTCATTTTACGTATTTTTGAACTTCAACATTTAGGACACAGCCACTCTGATTACTATAATTATGGTAATAATTTATTGAAAAGTTTTCATTTAACATTTTATTATGTATTTTTGAATTTTTAAAAACAATTATGGAATTTTTGTGTTTCACCAAATATACTTTGTATATATTTAGACCTCCTCCCAAATCTGCAACCGCCTTCATGTCCCCTGCATAGTTTTATGCACTCTAAGAGATAAATTAAGGTCTCTTGAGAGTCAAATTAGCGTCCCCAAATGCACTTCCTTGTGGATCTGTCCATTGGAGCCTGGATAAACTATCCAATATCACACACTTATAGAAAAATGA